CTCTGCTCTGGTCACTGAGCTGCTCCCCACCCCCACCACGGTGCCTCCGGGAGCCTCGGCCCCAGGCCACGGGCTGGTCCCAGGAAGGCGGCCGACCAGCGACACGTCTCACAGCACGGCCTCGAGGTGGACGCCAAACAAAGTGGCCACCCCTGTCCCCCAGGGCCACGCCCTGAGGCCACCACCACAGCAGCCCTTCCTGGGGGCGGAATAGGTTCCGATTGCACGAGTTTGAACACTTTGCTCTGCTTCATGCTTTCTAAACTCCAGCGTTGAAAGGGGTACAGGCCCCCGAGTCCAGGCTTTACGTGTATCTAGGAGACCGTGTGAGGACATCAGACAGGAAGCTTAATTCTGTACCTTGGCCCAAAGTTATCAGCATCTCTTATCCTTATGTCTTTAAAATAAATGAAAATTAATTTTTTTTAGTAACTTGCTCTTTGGTTGGAAGCCATCGGCTCAGGGAGTGACCGGGAGGAACTCATATTGGACCAGACTGTGTAGAGGAGGAGGAACCACTGAGGGCTTCTTGGAGGAAGTGACTGCTGAGTTGAGCGTAAGCTACGGACGAGGCAAAACACCCGGGGAAGCGAATTCTGGGCGGACCGTGGGGCGCGTGCGAAGGCCGTCCCCACACTGCCCCCGTCAGCTCCGCTCGGGGTCCCCACCTCAGCCGGCGGTCTAGGTGCCCTGCCTCTGGCTCAGGGGACGTTCCTCTCCGGGTCCCGATGGCCGAGACCAGACCGTCTTGCACCCCCTCAGCCTCCAGGTCTCGCTGGACCACACCCCACAGCGCGAGCCGGCCCTTCGATTCTGGCTCAAAGCAACAGCAGGCAGCTAAAATCACACAGACTATTTTTTCTTTAATCCTCACCCGAGGATACTTTTTCCCATTTATCTTCAGAGAGAGCGGGAGGGAGGGGAAAGGAGGAGGGAGACTGTGACATGAGAGACACATCGACTGGCTGCCTCCCGCACGAGCAACCAGGGCCGGGGACAAGCTGCCACCGAGGTACGCGCCCTTAGCGGGAACCGAACCCGGGTCTCTCTGGACCGCAGGCCGACGCTCTAACCGCTGAGCCAAACCGGCCAGGGCCACGGGGATGTCTTGACCTGCGGGGACATTCTCTAGACGTTTGCACGGACGGATCCGTGATGTCACCGTGCTCGGTCTGTGGATCCCAGCACAGACGTGTGCAGCCACGCAGACCGAGACGCGAGGAAGTCAGCCCGAGGAGCCGGGAGGAAGACACCACCACCTTGTCCGGGCTCCGACCTGGCAGGGAGGGCTCCTCAGGACAGCCCACCTGGCCGCCACGCCTGAACCTGGCTTCATGTCATTGGCATGACCTGGAATGTGAGCCAGGGCTCAGCTCAGCCGTCCTGGAAGACCGACGGCCCGGCCTCTGAGCGCTACACCCGGGGGGCTCCACACGGGACCCACCCCCTCGCTCGTGCCTCAGACGGTGTCGACTAAAATCCTACTCGGGCAATAATGCTCCCTGGCCAAGGTCGCCGGGACCACCGCACCTTCCAGGTCTAGGATCAGGCCTGGAGGACCGAATGCGGTGAGTGGGCCCCACGGGGTCAGCGGGGGTCGGGGTCCAAGGACAGGTGACGGGGGGTCCAGGTCAGAGTGCTGCACCTGGGGCCGAGGAGGGCGAACTCCCTCATCTTGAAAGTGGAAAGTCGAGACAAACGGCTCCTGGCCTGGCAATGAGTCAGCTGGCGGCTGGCGGCCGGCGGCCTCCTCGGGGCTCCCCCGTCTCAACGACTTCGCGAATTAGCCGTGACACATGCTGAGGAAACTTCTGACCCAGAGCGAAATCATCGCCATCTAACTTTCCAGCCGGTTCCTCCGTGACATCAGTGACGTCCCTCCCTTGAGGAATCGGGCGAGATGCGCGTCCAGACAAGTGAACCCACCGGATACATCACTTCCCGGACGGGAAGGGACCGTGTGGGAAATGGACGTGAGGTGTTTTCAAACCACTTCGTTTAAAGGGAGGACACGCATCAGTGTGCCGTCGTTCTCATGACGAGAGGAACAGGGGCCGCGAGGCTGAGCGGGGGATTCGCCCCGGCCGAGTTCCCGCAGATGGGACCAAAGGGATGTTTCAGCCGAGTCACCCCATCCCCCAAGGGCTGACTGGAAAAGGGGGGCTAGGACCCCAAAGGCAGCATCAGCCATGGGGGTTGAAACAGATGCTCAGCACATATTCCTGAATTCTTCACGGACCTCCACACACGTTAATATCTCACTGTCGCTGGACGAATTCTCACGTCACATATTTGCACTTTGTACAAGGTGAGGCGACCCTGTACCACCACCGGGCACGCAAAAGGGAAGACTTAGACGCATCCCACTTTTCAATTAACTGCCCTGGCTGTTTCTGAGAACAACTTTTGGGGAATTATTTTCAAGAGGTGGTTTTAGAACCACGAAGGAAATGAATTTGTCAAAATAATCTTCCCCTGTCCACACACACATGGACAGAGCAAGGCCACAAATGTCAGCGACTGTGTCCCAGGTATTTTGAGACAGTGACTGGGCCCCGCCTGGTCTCCGTGGCAGGAAGTTCTGAATCAAACCGGACATCAGCTCTGACGCCCCCTGAGTTAGACGATCTTCTCCATACTCCGCCGTTCTGCTCCTCAGAGAGGGACTTGCCATTTCTTCGGTATTTTTCACTCTTACTGAACAGAGTGTGGTTGCATGCCCTCTCGGTTCTCTTCAGAAAGAAGTATTGTGACTATGTCACAGCCGGCGTTCCGAGTAAAACAGGGACAGAGCGGCCGCGATTCACCTGCTCTGACCCCCACCGAGTGCCCAGGTCCCACGTCTTCTCCTGCCTGACCCTCAGGCCGTCCCCACCTCCGGCAGCACCGTGACTCAGTGACGAGCCCAAGAGCCAGGAGCAACTTTGAAGAGAAGCATCTTCCGTCATTCGTGTGGTGCGCACTCTGGGAATAAGAGACGCACGAGGTAACGGTGTGCACACTAACAGAACGGGGTCTCAGTTCTGCGCGGGGTCTCGTGTCACCGCTACGGGATCTGTCTTGTTTCCATTGTCCCTAGAATGACGGCTCAGACACGACAGGTCACGTCCCCCCAGCTGATGACTGCTGCGAGCATTTCTGGAGACCGTGTCAGGGCCTCGCTGGCCCGGGCTCGTACGGGACCTCGATGGACACTGTGAACCATCAGCCGTGGTCTCAGAGTGCTGTTCCAACCCCGTGACTGCAGAGCTCACCCCTTCCCTACGTGTCCAGTCTGCGCGTTTCCACGGAGAGCAGGTCCCTGCCCGCGCCGAGGGGGAGGAGAGAGGGGACACCGAGGCCCCGCCACCCACAGCCCGTGGTCTCCCCACGAGACTCTGTGCAGCCCTGCAGGTGTCACGAGGGACAGGTCCGGGCACTGGCCTCTGCACCCCCACCAAGCGGGGCTCAGAGAGGAGCACCCCTCGATCATGGCCCCACGGCTGGGCCGCCAGCCTCACAAACCCCTCGATGGCGCCGGGGAAAGACCACCGAGGCCCCACCGCCTCCTTCAGAACAGCTGCCGGCCCCAGCGGCTCCCTGTTTGGGACGCCCCGGAAAAGCGGACTCGCCAAGACCTTGGAGGGATGAAGTGCCGGACACAGCGTGGGTCCCGGCTACGCCACCGTCTACGGGTTACCCCTCCGCCTGCTTCCTCTCCAAGGGCCGGCGAGTGAGCTCTGGGTGTCGAGTCCCCGTCACCTCCCCCCATTCTTGCAAACGCCTTTTGAGCAGCAAAGGGAAAACTCCATTTCCAGTCCCCCCGTGGTCCCTGCCCTGCCCGGGGTTCCCAGTGCTAGAAACCACAGGCACCGCTGTTCCTGGTTCTTCTGAGAACAGCTGGTGGTTCCTCCGACACGTCGCCGCGTCCCAGTCCCAGATCTCACGACCTTCGGGTCCCCGCGCTCCTCTGCGCGGCTGGCTTCTGTCGCCGGCGAGCACTCGGGGAATTTATCACCTGCTCTGCTTTATGGGTTCCTCAAGGTCACGCGTATTCATCGTTTTACAGAAACAGGGCCGTGCAGAGAAACCCTGGCGGTGCTGTTTACCTCGGGCGGTAAATTTTCAGGGGGCGGGTGTGGTTTCCGCAAGGATGGGAGGAAACCGCGACGTTGAGCCCGCAGAGCCCAGAGACGACGGGAGGATTCACATCAACGATCGATTTGCGCGCGGCCACGAGTCAGGGCTGTGGGTTTCTCACACGGACGCGACCGGCTGTCACGGAGGAGCCCGGGTGTCGCTGCCATCGATCAGACTTCGACATTTGAAAGGTGATCACCTTCTAATATCAGCGCTCACCTATTTTTCCCACACACAACTTTACCAAAGTTACACAGTGGAGCCTCGTTTCTCGAACTTAATTCCTCCTGGAGGCTGTTAGAAAACCGGAGCACGTTTTCCCGTTAGGAATGATGTGAACTGAATGAACCCATTCCGAACCCCCGAGTGGTTCCCGGTGTTAACCTTTGTGATGTACAGTACACGTCTAACGCACCCTCTAATCTATAGAGAAACTTTACAACGAAAAGGACACAAAATGCAAATGAAAATGTAACAAAAAGAAAATAAAATTACAGTAAAAACCAAAAATGTATAATAAGGATAAACAGCAACTATGAAAATAGTCCCAGCACCGTTTCCCGCGCTGGTCACAGCCGCACACGGGCCCGTCTCTCCTGTCGCCTGGGAGACGCTGGCTCCACACGCAGGCGGCTGCAGGCGAGGGCTGTCGGCGCGGACCGCAGTGCTCGGGCGGAGACCTCCGGGAACCGAGGTTTGACCGTACTCTATCTTTTAAAACATTGATAACCATGGGTTTCATTTTTTTTAAAATGAGAGGTTACCTAGGAAAGAAATGTTCCACAACACCGGTGCAAGTGCAACAATGTTACAGCTGCGACTCGCAACAGTTACCAGAGGCTGGGAGAGCCCGGCCGTCGGAAGGCTGGAGAGGCCCTTACCTGCTGTGGATCTGATGGTCGAGGCGGCGTTGGAGGGGGTGAGCGCGGGAACACATTCGTCGTCCTGGGAGTAGCCAGCCTGGATGGCACGCAGGTAGCTGTGACTCCGCGTCCGGAAGCACCCGGGGAGGTCCAGGGCCTCCATGGCCTGAGATTCGACTTCGCTGAAGACGGACTCGCACACCGACTCGAACTGCCCGTTGAGCTCCGCTTCGCTCATCTGGAACAGACACCGCAGGGTCGGCGGCGAGACCCACGGAGACTCCGCCACGACCCAGCAGGCGCAACCCGCCCACAGCAACCGCACCGCAGGTGGCGCCCCCTCTGGAGAGGAGGGACAGGCCACGAGGTCAGGAACGGACCGGCTGACGGGCGAGGGGCCTGTTGGCCGGTCTCTGACCGGAGCGCACTCAGTGGCCACCCCACAGCAAGCAGAGAAAGCGGACGCCTAGACACGCCGGTGAACTCCGGCCCCACGTCTACAGGCGAGCAAAATGGGCAGCAATGTGTTTAACTGCAAGTGTGGGAATTCAGCTGTATTTGTCCTGTAGCATGTGGCCGTCAGACTGCCCAGCCCCTGCTCATTTCGCTAGATCCCTCCATGCCTGGCTCCTGCCCGTCAGCCACCCCAAGGGGCAGCTTGAAACACTGTCATTCTGTGGGGGCCGTGACCCGGCCGGGGGCCTTAGTGCTTTGCGAGCCAGACAAACTCAGTTCTCGGCAGAACACCAAGCACCCTGCGTATTTTCGACGCCTCACTGGACCTTCAGGGGTTGTTTGCGGACACGACACAAAGTCGCTGCGGCCAGAGCCTGGTCCCATAACGCTGTCCCCTGACCCGATATGCTGGGGAGACCTCCTGGGAACAGGACAGTCTGAGCCCAAACAGCAAGGGGGCCGAGATGGTCAGCTGATCGGTCACCCCTCACCACAAGCAAGCAACGTAAACATCACTATCGCAAACGTCGGAACAACGACATCTCATGATGTCCCCAGACGGGAAATCAGTGGAGGCGACTGCATGTCTGCTCCTGGCCTCCTAGACCGGGGGCCGCCTCCCGGCAGGACAGCGCCGGGCAACGCGGCGGGGGAGGTTGGACCGGGACACGGGGGCCCACCTGGCTCACACAGCTGGCCTGGCTCAGCATGCTGACGGCTCTCATGTAGCTCTGGTTCCGGGAGCGGAACTTCGGGGAGCCGTAGTTGGCGGAGGGGTCCAGGCTGTGGCCGGCAGGCCCGTCGCTGGCCGCCTGCAGGTAGCTCTGGCTACAGGGAAAGAGACAGAGAAACAGTGACTGTCACCAGAGGGGCAGAGGCACGACGGTCATTTGAGCCCACAGGAGAAGCTGCTATAAAAGTTCCAGCCCGCAGTTGCTGATGAGACCTCTGCCCCGTAAACAGGCCCCAGGCCCCTGTACAAATGCACATCTCGCCCTAGGTCACAGGGAGGCTGTTTACAAAACTGCTCTGAGTCCTGACACTTCATGGCCAGGCAGGAAATCAGGATCATCCTACACTTTTAAGGACGGACGAGAGTGAACTGGGCGCCTGAGCTGATTTCGTGAAAATCTCGTGAAGACCGTGCTAGCTTCAGGCGACGTCACCTGCTCCGAGAAACAACAGAACAGACGACAGGTGTGTGTTCCGTCTTCACACCTGCACGTGGTCCAGTGAGCACAGCCGACAGAAGGGCGGACAGAAAGCGAACCCCCGGACACCGATCGGCGGCTCCCCAGATGCCCCTCGAAACCGGCGGCCTCTGGTGCTCTTCCTGCTCTTCGGTAGAAGGTTAAGTGTTTGGTGGCTGCAGTGTCAGCTTAGCTTGAATTTCTGGCATGTTTAACTCTTTTCAAGTTTTTTAAAAAATATTTTCTTTTTAAAAAACTATTTTTTCTTTATTGATTTCAGAGAGAGAGAGGAAGGGAGAGATGGAAACAGCGATGAGAGAGAACATCGACTGGCCGCCTCCTGCATGCCCCCCACTGGGGATCAGGCCCACAACCTGGGCATGTGCCCTGACCGGGAATCGAACCGGCAACCTCTTGGTGCAGGGTCGACGCTCAGCCACGGAGCCACACCGGCGGCTGCTCCTTTCAAGGTTTGCTGACAACTTTCCCACAACAAGCACCTCACAGGCCCGCAGGCAAAGACGCGTATAAACACCAGGCTGAGTCTGACCCCGCGTCAGGCAGCTCACGTCCGCCCCCTGCTGTTCAGAGTGAACTGTTGTCGTTTGTTTTCTCCGTGACTTACGGTTTTCTTTAGAAATGGGACCGCAGGGGGGAGACTGGGCTTGGTTTTTTTTTTTTTATCCTCACCCAAGGACATTTTTCCATTTTTTGTTCAGGTAGAGTGGGAGGGGGAGAGAGAGAGAGAGAAACATCGACATGAAGGGACACATCGAGTGGCTGCCACCCACACGACCCATCCAGGGCCGGGGACAAACTGCAACCGAGGTACGTGCCCTTAGCGGGAACCAAACCCGGGTCTCTCTGGACCGCAGGCCGACGCTCTAACCGCTGAGCCAAACCGGCCAGGGCTGGGCTTGGTTTTAAGTTCGATTACGCAAAGCCCACTTATTGTAGATTCAAAGTCACTTACTCTGGGGGAGAAAGCATGACTCGATATGCTGTACATGTTGACAGAATGTAATTTATCTCATAACAATAGCTTTTGTTTTAAAACCAGGTGCATCGCCCAGTCCAGGCGCCACCTACTTCCTTCCACTCGAAACAGACACGGGAAAGGGGGGGAGAAGCAGGTCTGAGCCCTAATTTGGCGGGTGGGGAAGTGCGACGACCCTTCGTCCAGTCCTCCAGTGTCAGGTGGGCCAGAGGCAGGACCACAGGGGAGCACACACCCACACGCGGCCACCTGGTGTCCCCCAAGGACCGGGCCAGTCCGTGGAGGCCACGTAATGCCAGCAGCACCCCAGGACTCTGCCCTGGGCCCTGGTGGCCACAGCCGGCTTCATCTGTGCGTGTTCAGGGCACGTTTCACACGGGCCCGGTGGTGGCCCTGACCCTCGGCTCTCGGCTGACCTTGGTCTTCGAAAAGGTGTCTGCACCTCTCGCTCCCATGCGCCCGAGGAGCCGCGGGCCCCACCCCTGCATCTCTGCAAGTCGGCGGGACACCCCTTCCCCCACCATCGCCTTCGTTCTGGCTGATCTGCCCCACCCTCAGCTGTCTTGGGGGCAGGGGCAGGTGTTCCCTGGCCCCGGGGCCCTGGGTGCGTCTCCTCTGTCGGGCCCGCCGTGTGCAGCCCAGCGTGGGCGTCACGACGGGGCAGTGGGTCCAGGTGGCTGCTGGTGGCATTTGCATGGAGTCCGTAGGTTTTGAGACCTTGTGTTTAGATCTGCTCGGACTCCCAGTGAGTCTCTCTTTCCGGGTGGGGGTGCCGTGTACAGGGGCCGCGGCAGAAAGCCAGCAGAAGTTTCCTTTTAAACACAGACGGCAGCTGATACTTGATACCGACCGTGTCCTGGATGCCCTGCGGGAATTTCGCCCCGTGCTGACCGCCTGTGTTCACGGGAACCCAGAAGGGGGGCCGTTCATTCCCGCCCGGTGCCCACGGCTGCAGAGCACAGCAGGCCCCCGCCCGGCTCGCAGGACGGCAGAGCTGGGGGTGGGCAGGGGTCTGCTCTGAACTCACGCCTGGGCCCGAGGTCTCAGCTGCTCAGTCGAGAAGCAGGGAGCCCAAGAGGTCTGGTCCTGCAACGTCGGGCTTATTGCATTTAATAGAATTACTTTTAGTACAGCAGCTCAGGGTTTTAAAATGCAGCACCCAGGAGGCCAGAGTCTCTGAAAAGGGCTGGTCAGGGCTGCCCTCCCCCACGTGCGGCACACGCGGTGCCCAGGCCGCCCTCCGGGACCTTCCCCTGACGTCCCTACAGCCCCGCCCACAGGAATCCCACGTCATTTCCAAATTCCGAATGGATAGCTCCTCCTTGCGCATCCTAGCTGTCAGGGATGGACATGTATTTTCATCGACAGACTTGGTGGGCACTCAGAAAATTTAAAAGGAAAACTATGTAAAGACGCCGAGAAACACAGATGTGTGTTGCCCTCCAGAGGGGCCCGTCTCGGGGCTCACATGAGTCAGGGGCCTGGACCCTGCTCTGGAAGGGACGGGAGGAGCACGGGGCAGACCAGAGGAGGGTGCTCCCGGAGCCCGTCCCCTTCCTCCCCGCACACTCCGGACCCGCTGCTGACGGGCGGTCACAGACCTGTCCTGTCCGCAGCCTCTGCTCACATCCGAGCCCACAACACGAGAGTCTGGACGAAGCCAAGGCTCCCTGTTGCCCTGCGGCCGTAGAAAGGGGGTGCGGACGTATGTGGGTCAGATGCAGGAGAAACAGGACGGTTTACACTGCGTGTGTGACGCCCAACACAGGGGCATCTCTCCATTTCACAGCGAGACCCACCATGACGGCAGGCGCGTGTCCCTTCCTGTGTCACGTGGGCGACGGGACGTTCTGAACGGCACTGGGGTGCATGTGTGTGTGCACATGTGTGCACGCGTGTGCCGGATCCCTCCGACCGCATGGGCATCACACTCCTGTCCCTCGTCACCAACGACCTGGGCTCAGAAATGTGTGAGACCGAACGTGTCCTCTCGGCTGCTGGCTCAGGAGAAAGCAAGGTGCCCCCGTTATGTGCTTCGGTGGAGACCCTATCACCGCGTGCCTGCAGGTGGGGGCGTCGTGGGTGCCTGCGTCCCTTCTCAATCCACCTCTGGGGCTCAACAGAGGCTTGACAGAGCCACCCCCTCACTCTGCCAACCGCCCAATGCCCAAGGTGCCGCCGTGACCCCTGCAGCCCAGCCCGCGGGGGACCTGCTCATGGTGACGATGCTTCCTGAGGACGTGTGGGCAGCCGCGGCGGGACACACCGTGGCCGGGGACCAGGGCGCCGCCCCACAGGGGCCCGTGGCTGAGCTCTGGCCCAGCGGGACTGCCCCGGGCTCTGCTTGTCGGGCTCTGCTCGTCGGGCTCCGCGTGCCCTCTGGGTGGAGCCAGCGCCAGGCAGGGCGGTGCCGGCACCAAAGCCTCCTGAATGCGGCTCCACGGGAGGCTCAGTGAGCTGGGCTGCCCTCCTCAAGGACAGTCGCAGGTGCTCCGTCACGTAGCTCCCCGAGGTGCCGCCGTGCAGTCCTGCAGCCGGTCCGAGTCCAGGCTCCGAGCCGGCCCCCCTCAGCCCCCCTCGTGCAGGGTGCTGCCTGGAGCCCCCGGCGTGACCGCGAGGCCTCGGGTATTCTGGGACTTCTGCATGGAACCACCCTTACTGGGTGTCTGCTGGCCGTAATATAAGCTCGCGGACCCTGAAGCCCCGTGGAGGACCGGGACCGGTGACGAAGGGCAGACCTCTCCGGGGCCAGCTCGGACCTTCCCGCCGGAGCCCAGATGCCGTCCGTGCTACAGAGAGAACCGATCGGTGTCGGCGGTCGGGGAGAGAACTCACTGGGACACTTGCCGGTTTGGACCCGCCGAAGGGACACGTGGGTAACTGAAGTTAATGGAAGCCAAGCAAATAAACGAAGGGCAGTTACAAATACCAGGTGAGAAAACTGTTAGGAAACACGTGATCACGCGAATGGAGCAGGTGGGAAGGGGAGGGAGAAATCAAGCGACGGAAAGTCCCCCTCGCGCCGAGGTTTCCTCTCTCCCTCCCCTTCCCTCTGAGTCAGTAGAAACAGACCCTCGGTGAGGACTGAAGAACAAGGAGGCGGGCGCCGTGGTGAGGAGCCCCCAACACTCCACCCAGCGGAGTGAGCCGCGCGCCTCCGAGGTTTTTCCGCAGCCGCGAGCGGACGGAGACGGTGAAGCGTGTCCCGTCCTGCGTGTGGACGACAGGAACTGGGCAGAGCCCGGCCTTCCGCTCAGACAGACGGGTTTTTCTAAAAGTCGTTTCTGCTGTTCAAGTGGCTTCTGGTTCAGTTCGGAGACGTGTTGTGAGAAGGTGGAGCCGCGGCGGGAGGAGCGTGTACCGGACCCCGTCAGGACAGCGAGCGCCGCTGAAACCAGGCGGGACGCAGGCGCTGAGAGAAAGCGCCCCCCGTGACCTTCCGCGTGAAGGGCGTGAGCACGTCGATGTCGACACGGGGAGCGTATGAAGATGGGAGAACAGAATCTCTTCTTGTGGCCATAGTACACGTTGCTGAGCTCAGAGATCAGGGCGATGAACATACATGAGGGAGAGAACGCTGAAGGACCGAGTTTACGTGAGGACGTGTGTATGTACGTGCGCAGTACGCGGCGTGGGAAGACCTGGGACGTGTACATCCCTCTGAAGGAGCTTGGTGCTGCCGATGCCCCGCGCCAGCGGTGCCCCCGAGGCACACGGAAGCCGCACACACATGTGCACACAGGAGCAGGATCTCTCATGACAGCCCCAGGCAGGAGACACGGCAGCGTCTGCGATGGAGGGATGATGTGCGGTGCGTCCGCACCTCCCACGGATGATGCTCAAGCACACGGTGCAGAGAGGGGCAGACGCAGGTCACACAGGCGACCCCGTGTGCGGGGCCCGAGCAGAACGGGCAAACCCGAGGAGACGGAGCAGGGGCGGCTGCGGGGCTGTGATGTGGTGGGGCACGGACGGCCATGGGGCGGGGTCCTCTCCGGAACTGGTCCAGTGACGGCCGCACCTCTCTGTGAAGGTGCCGAGGTCCGAGTGGTGAGCCCAGGAGAGCGGCAGGGCACAGACGGCACCTCCTGAGCTGTGGGGGAGCAGGTGTGGGAAGGGCCACACTCGTGCTACGACGTTTGCAGACTCAGGTGCAGTGTGGGTCCCAGCGCAGATTTGGAAGAATTTTCAAAAGCAGACTCGGCCCCTGGCTGCCTCTGGTTCACGGCTCTTGGGCACCCGGCTCAGATCGCAGGCACCGGAGCGATGAACTTTCACCCCAACAGGGGAGGTGGGTGCTCGGAAGGGCAGAGGGTTTGGAGGTGGAAGACCTGGTTTGGAGCCTGAATTTGCTTCTGTCCATCCTGGAAGCACGAGGCTGGACAAGTCGCGAATGTCCCTGGTGCAGACTTTTCCGCGGCCACAGAAGCCGTGGCGATGGCTCGCGCCCTCCCGGGCGGTTCCGCCGGCCCGCTGACGTCAGGTCCTGGCCACGGAGCGTCGGGGAAGCTCGGGCCCTGTACACACTCCGTTCCTCTGGCACGGCTGCCGGTGTCCGTCTGGCCTGCGTCGTGAGCCCCTGCAGGTACGTCGACGCCCGTGCTCACCCAGGAGCAGGGCCTCCTGACTGCTCCTGTCCAATCCGGGCCCAGAGCAGCTGCCCTTTGCCTGGGACCCTCCCCCATTACCCACAGGGCCGCCTGTTTGAGTTACTTTTTAAACCAAGTGGACGGCTTTCTCCGAATAGATACTTAGTGTCAGGGCAACAGGGCAGACGCCCCAACATGAAACCAGACACCGTCAAGCACCGTACCCACGAATCCGCTCGAAATGTAAGACCTGAAACTGTGAAAGTCCTGAAGAAAACACAGGCAGTGACCGCTCGGGCATCTCTCACAGCTTCCTGGACACACCTCCTCGCGCAAGGACACAAACCCACACCAACGAGGGGCCCTCCCGCAGGCCCTGGGGGGTTCAGCTGAATGCAGATGTGTTCACATCGGTTAAATTCAAAATGTTGGTTCTGGTTGAAATTCAGACTGTTCACTTCTCCTGTGAGCTAATGTTAAAGGACGACGGGGTGTGTCGGAGACGCTGACCCCTGTGCTGGGCGCCTGTGTGTGGCCGGGGGGGGGGGTCACAGAAACAAGGCGGGTCTGAGCACCGGGTCCCCCTGAGCATCACGGGCTCGTGCAGCGTGGACGGAGCGCCGGCCGGCTCGCCCTGCTGCTGCCCTTCCCGCCAACCGCAGACGCTCAGGCTGAACCAGGGTCCCCCCAGCACCCGAACCCGCGCCAGGCCGGTCACTCTGCTGAGGGCAAGAGCCACGGCCCCTGTCATGGAAACAGCCGACCCCCGAGCAGTCTTCTGTCTACATACTGGAAACTGGATGATCAATAACGTATCTTTGGACAAACACATAAGGCACATGCTACCATGTCTGTGAGATTAGCCCACTTCCTGCCCTCGCCCTGCGAAAAACTGTTGCCTACACGTACACGTATGAAGTCAGAGTGAAAAGTACCTGATTATGGCTCTCACACACACTCGGTCACACACACTTGTCACACACACTCGTCACACACACTCGTCACACACACTCAGTCACACACACTTAGTCACACACACTCACAGTCACACTCGTCACACACACTCACAGTCACACACACTCACAGTCACACACACTCAGTCACACACACTCAGTCACACACACTCACAGTCACACACACTCACAGTCACACACACATGTGCTCACATGCACCCACACAGAATCACATGCACCCATGATCACTCACACACACATTCACATACACTCTCACACATTCATATTTACACGCTCACATTCACATACTCTCCACACAATCACTCACACTCACACATACTTGCACACACAATCTCACACTCACATACTCACACACACTCACATTCACACAAACATGCTTCTGATGAGAATAACTGGAATGATCTCAGATGACATTGACAGATCTGGTTGTGACAGTTGCTTTAAAATTAACATTTGATGTAGAACCTGCCCAAGTCTATTCCTTAATTACTGTGCAATATGTAAATAACCAAAGGCCTGACTTTTTCTAATCGGCCTGGGAACCTAATGGCCATGAAGCCTAAAGTGTCCAACTCAGAGACGACTGTCAGTTGAGGACGGCTGATCCGCGCTGACCTGTCAGGAGGGGGGAGGCTGAGACACCAGGTGTTTTGGGGGGGCTGAGACACTAGGTGTTCGGGGGGCTGAGACACCAGGTGCTTTGGGGGGGGGCTGAGACACCAGGTGCTTGGGGGGGGCTGAGACACCAGGTGTTCGGGGGGGCGGCTGAGACACCAGGTGCACCGAGGGGGGGGGCTGAGACACCAGGTGCTTTGGGGGGGGGCTGAGACACCAGGTGCTTGGGGGGGGCTGAGACACCAGGTGTTCGGGGGGGCGGCTGAGACACCAGGTGCTTTGGGGGGGAGGCTGAGACACCAGGTGCTCGGGGGACGCGCGTGGGGTCTTACGTTTGCAGCCCGCCCAGTGGCCTCTGGCTCAGGGACTTAAGCAAGGGCTCCGGCCGCGTGGCGGTGGGGGAGGTCTTGGGGCTGCAGTCGGACTCCCCGCTGTCCTCGTCGCCCATGGCTTTGATGTAGCTGCCGCTCCTCATCCTCCTGCAGGGGATCTCGTCCTCCTTGCCCCCGGGCGGGTACCCTGCCCACTGGTCCTGAGGCACCTGCGAGGGGAGGGACACGGTGCGTCAGCCTCGGGGAAGGCTCCCCACGCTCTCGGGAGCTCGTTCTCCACAGTCCGAGGGGACACCGCTCTGTACCGTCATCGGTCACCTAGACATGCCCAGATGGCCGGTTTGCCTCAGAGGTTAGAGCACTGGGCCATGGACCGATGAGTTGCGGGTTCGATTCTGGTCAAGGGCACGTACCTGGTACCTCGGTTGCAGTTCATCCCCCCCCCCGGTCAGGGTCGTGCGGAGGCAGCAGTCGATGGTCTCTCTCTCTCCCTCCCTCCCTCCCCCTCTATCTGAGGATAAAGAGAAAAATATCCTTGGCTGAGGATCAAAGAAAACAAAGTGAAGTTAGATGTGCAGACAGACCCGTGCCCCCTGGCGCTCTGCCACCGAAATCCTAAAAGGACTTTAACATGACGTGATTGCTGTCTTCCCCTCGTGAAGCAATAGAGAGACGTTGTAGGGAAAGTGATATAAAGTTAGGAAAGTAAAATGAGGACCCCCCACCCCGTGATCGCAGCACCTAGGAAAACCGCCGACAGCGTTCAGATGTGCTTCCCGGGGTCGGAGGGATGACAGGCCGCGAGAACCGGGGAATAACAGCCTCACCCTGTGGGGAGGGAGCAGGAGCAGGAGCGAGAGGGTCCGCCCCGCAGGCACAGGGACAGGAGAGGTGTGACCGGGACGTGTTGTCACCACGCGGAGGAGCGGGTGCTGCTCCCAGGCCAGCAGGCTGCGCAGGCAGCGCGGTCCATCCACGTCCATCCACGGCGCCCGGGGCTCAGCGCGGACCGATGGGCGGACCCACCTCGACCCCAGCGAGTGAGCGGAGACGACCTTCCCACAGCAGCCGGCCACGCTGCAGCGGGCACAGGACCCAGCTCGGCTGCCCAGGGCCGCGCTCGAGGAGACGGTGCAGCCCTCACGTAGAGCATCTCGGACGGGCGTCCCCGACGGGAGACACTCAGATTCCCACCTCGAGCCTCCCGGCTGAGGCCCCTGTGGGCCGGCTGGTCGACCACGTCCGGCAGGGACCTTGGTTCGTTCCGTTCTGGGTGGTCGGGCACTGTCCCCGCCACCACCCAGGACCCGCTGGGGGGGACCAGCAGCCAGCAGGTCAGCTGCACCTCACCCGGGACACCCAGTGTCCGGCCCTGTAGGGACTCAGACGGTCGTCTCTGTGGGGGGTGGGGGAGCACGGCACCCCGAGATGCCTAGGTGCCCGGCACGCACACGGACACGCCCCAGCCACGCACAGCCTCCGGACGCCAGGATGAGGAAGCTTCTTGCACTCATGCTGCCCCGACCCCAGGAGCTCTGTGTGGGGTGCACACAGCCCAGCCCCCCGCCGCAGCGCGGAGGGCATGTGGCGCTGATGCCTGGTTCAGCGGGCGTCCCTGGCTCCAGTGGCTGGCCCTGTGCCGTGTCCATGCAGAGGACGTGCCGGTGACCAAGGGCAGACAAGGGCAGAGCAGAGCCATGCGTCCTGCCCAGGGGTCAGAGACACACGTGCAATCTGTTCAACACCTGAGCCGAGCGGAGGCCCCTTCCGGCCAGAAACCCGCAGTGAGAAGTCGGGAGAGCTCACTGCGTGGGACACCTGCCGATGCAGAGGACACCTGCCGACGCGGGGGACACCTGCCGATGCGGGGGACACCTGCCGATGCGGGGGACACCTGCCGACGCGGGGGACACCTGCCGACGCAGAGGACTCCGAGCTCTGGGGCAAAGCGACGGAGAAGGAAGGACCTCGGGGTGCTCAGCGACTCTCACCCACGAGCTCCGCTCTACAAACACCTCTGGGAGGAGAGAGCTCGCGAGCAGCTCGTCCGCGTTCACGCGCGGCACGGTCCAGCCTGCAGGGAGCAGTGTCAGAGTCCGACGCCCACGGCCTGGGACCCGCACCTCACTCCCCCGAGGCGCCCCCAGAGGACTGGTCTGCGCCAGGGACTGCGGACCACCCAGGCAAGAGGCATCGGTGACACCCGGGGGACGCTGGAATACCACCCACAGCCGCACACGGGGGCGGGGTCACAGGAAGGGGGTCACAGGGACGGGCTCACAGGGGGGAGATGCTTCCGGAGGAGACTGCGCCCCGTTTCTGACGCTCACACAGATACGGCCGCACCGCGCACAGGGATGGGGAAGCCTGTGGCCCTCACTGCGGCAGCATCATGGGCTTTGATCATTTTTCTTTATACTAAGTTTTCTAAATTTTCTACGTGGACCACATGTTGCTACTGTAAGTACAAAAATAAACGTTTTTAGTCAAAGGAAACTCAGTCCTCAATGACAATCATTTCAGTGGAGTTTAACAAGGACGGAAGGAGCGGGGACCGGGCAGGGTCCAGTGGCTGGTGGGCGGAGGCAGGTGATCTGGGAGGGCTCCCTGGAGGCGAGGCCGGCCAGCCCGTCCGTGTGGGAGGCAGGGAGGCGGGGCGGCCGCGCTGGGACACGCTGGTCCTGTGCTGGGGACCGGCCGGCTCAGCCTGCAGAGCGCCTGGGAGGCAGGCCTGGCGGGGACAGACGGCCGCGGGCAGCTGTACGGAACTTTTGTGAATTAAAATCATGTTTCTGTAAGAAACAAAGGGAACCTTTTTTACCCGCCGCCTGTGACTTAACCAACGAAGGGGACCAGCTTGCCTTTCTGTTTCTGGTTCAAGGAGCCAGTTTTGCGCCTTTGACAAGAAATTTCACTGCGGGAGGAGCGTCGACCAGGGTCGGGCACAGACTGTGCGTCCGCAGCGTGTCCAGACGGTCGCAGGGTCGGAGAGACGCCGAGACGCCCGGTGCCGCGGGAACTGGCCGCCTCCCACGCCGCGGTCCGCAGTGAAGGGGCGGACCCAACAGCGCCGGGCGCTGCGTCCCACGGTGACGAGTGACCTGCTGACCTGCAGTGACCGGGCCGGCAGCACAGTGCACGTCGGGGTCCCTGCTCTGGGGGAGGCCCTCAGCACCCCACATGGAAAGGTCGAGTCTTCGAGCAGCAGCACAGGGGGTTTGTAATAATGTCTGTTTCAGGTGTGGAAGCCCAGGGAGAGAGACCCTGTGCCACGCTGTTTCCCCGAAGTGTCCTCCTCGTCCACTCGGCAGGACTGTCCACGTGCCGGCGTGGGCGCCTGTCACCAGGCGGGCCCCCAGAGCCAGGCTTCCGAATGGCCTGGTTTCGTGAACCGGATGCCCAGTGGGGTGCCGAGGGGCCCGGGGGGCCGTCCTGGAGTCTGTCTGGGCCGCTGTGGTCGTCACAGAGGGTGGGGGCGTCGGGCCAGGGAGGCCAGTTTTGGGGAAGCCGAGAAGTCCAACCTGGTCACGTGAGGCCGGGAGGGGAACCTGGTCGCGTGGCGCCGGGATCGGAATGTCTGGTTCCGACTGTGGTTGCCTGAGCCCCGAATGTGCTCTGCTTTATGTATGAACCGAATGTGCTCTTTTCTCCATGGTTTTAACGAGCAACGGATTTTTCGGGAACGCAACAGACCACGCACGTAGGTCAGCCACGGAGGCCTCGGGGTCAGCACGCACCAGGAGGCGTCTCGTGCTCCCAAAACATGCACGGCAACACCACGGCCTGACGACACCCTCCGTCGCTGGGGGGCGCTTCGCCCAGAAACACCCCCCCCAGGCCTCTGCCCAGACAGCCCTGTGGGTCACAATTCATGTTCCCGTCCGAAGCTGCCCTCCTTGTATTTCTGTTGTATTCGAGCCAGGCACATAAACAAACATTCAAACAGTGTGTGCAGGTTGGTTTCACTGAAGGACCGTCAAGGAGACGTGGCCGTGGACGTGCTGTGGACAGAACGCTCTGTGGTATGTCTACCAGCCACGTGTGGGCAGCAAAGCTTCTTCCAGCTACAGGGCGTGTCCTACTCCACGGAGTCCGGAGAGCACCGGGCGAGGCCGTGGGGCGAGGAAGGGGCGCAGGGGGAGGACGGACCAAGGACACTGCCCGGGCACAGGGGGCGCCTCCCAGGGGGCCACGTCTCTCCTCTCAGCCTCATGCTCTGTTCTCCACTGGGAGACCTCTGCCCCGAGGGGTGTTCAGCGATGTCTGGAGACAGGTCCGGCCATCTCCGAAATGGGGTGCTACTGGCTGCTGGTGGGTCGAGGCCAGGACACTGCTCAACATCCCCACCGTGAACAGGACGGTCCCCCAAGGCCGGTGCCCAGGCCGGACGCGGATTCCGTGGTGGCTCCCGCAGGGTCTGCGTCTGAGCACGAGACCCCGGGGCCCTCGCTGACGGCTGCTAGGACCCCGAGTCCGGTCAGCCTGGCCGGGAAGCTCCCTGTTTGTTTATCTCTGTGTTTTCCTCTGAGGCTGTTCCGTGGCCCAGTGGGTTTTCTTAAGGCTGCACCTGTCCGGGCCGCTCCCGGCAACCACAGCAGGCACGGAGCAGACGCGGCCGCGCACATCACAGCCGGCGGCAGCCCCACGCCGGGGCTGGGTCCGCGAGGACCCCGTGGGGGCAGTGGGAGCCTCAGGGACCACGCCCTGTGGGAGCAGGACGGCGTCTCAGACCCGGGGCCCGGCCTCTCCTTCGCCACGACTGGTTTCCCACGTGAACCCCAACAGTGCTTCAGCCACACGGACCTCGTCCCTCTGACCCGGACCCTGGAGGCCGGCTGTCCACTCCCGGGGGGGCCTGGACTCCGCAGGGAGTGGGTCCTGCAGCCCACCAGCCGCAGCAGGACGGGCGGGGGAGGAGCAGGGGAAATGCCGTAAAATCTGCCCCCCCTCTGAGGGGGCTCCCAGAGGATCAGCTGGAAGTGCTGCCTGGGGGGAGGGGGGAGGAGCGAGGAGGGTGAGGGGTGAGGAGGGTGAGGGGGGAGGGGGGAGGGGGGAGGGGTGAAGGGTGGGGGGCAGGAGGCTGCGGGGGCTGCGCTATCGGGGGAGGAGCCTGGGTGGGGTGGGCACTGCCCAGGGAGGGCAAAGGCCTGTGTCCCATCGTCCAGGTCCCGGGCGTCCTCCCCAGGGCCAGGCAGCCGGCGCCCACCTTGCTGTGCCCGGAGCCGCGTGGCTGCCCACGTGTGAGCTCGGTGCCGCCGCTGGGCTGGGACCCGGCACCCAGCACTGTGCTCTCGCTACAGGCTGACCTTGGCCGACCTTGGCTGCTGCGTCGGCTGATGGAGAAAACAAATCCAGCAGCTTCTCAGAGAACAAATGAATCATTTTCTCAATTGTCCATTGTCTGCTTCGGCCTGAAAACGTACCGAATCCTGATGTCACCGTGGATCCTGCACAGGGTGAAACTGAAAACCCTTTGCTCAGCTGCAGCTCTCCCGTCTGGGGTGGAACCGGCAGGTGTGAGCTCGGCTTCTCCCTCCCACGCGGCGAACCTCCCTCTGCGGCAGCACAGAGGCCTCGGTGCCCATCTGGCGGCGAAGATGGTCCGGTGCGCGGGGACCAGGCCACCGACCCGCGGGCAGTTTCGTGCAGTCCACGCCTGGCGCGGGCCTCTTGGGAGTCCTGGACCCCCGCTCCCGTGAGCCCAGCGACAGGACAACCGACGAGATGTGAGCGCAGCCGGGATGCCCGTGATCGGGAGTCTCGCCACCGGGGCTGGTGGTGAGCAGGACGGCAGAGCCGGGGACGGACACCAGCGGCCCCCTGGGATGTGCGGCTTCACACGGACACTGAGGAGGGGCCAGGACCGGCTGCTGGAAGCGACGGACCCCTCTGAGGAGCACATGTCCTCGTGGGTCACGGGGCTCAGGGGAGACAGCACCCCTCCACTGGCAGAGCCCCGCCCTTGGGACAGGCTGTGCCGCAGCAGCTCAGAGACTGGCTGGGGTCCACCCCTCAGGAACCTGCGGGGCCTCAGAGGAACGGAGGTGGCGGGGGGGCCGCAGGGGACAAGATGACACCCCGCTCACCTGGGGGCGGCGGATTTCATTCCCGGAGATTGGCTTTCAGGTGACGTGCACTGAGCCACAGGGTCAGGTCGCAACCTGTCATTTTCCCCACGTTCTCTACAAACAGCAGGTGTTCGGTCGCTGGGGTCACAGCTCAGCCAGGCCCCCTGGTGACCAGCACCTCCCGGCCACATGGAGCGGGTTCCAGGAGAAGGGGGAGGGTGGCCCGGCCTCACAGGCCAGCTCGTAAGTGCGTCAGTGAACGTGGTACCTTGGTGGCCGCACAGGGTGCACGGAGAAACCACGGGACGTGGCGGGAAGGCAGCAGGCGGTGCCGCCGTGTGGGCAGGGCCAGATGGCGGGAAGACGAGAGGAGGGACCCGCAGGTGTCACTGTCAGCCTGGGCCATGGGCTCCCCTGTGTCTGGATGCACACTGGGGAGCAATGGGGAGCAGCCAGGGAAGTCGGAGCCCAGGCTGGGTTCCTGGGACACTGAAGAGCTGACGTCAGTTTTCACGCCCGAGAACGACCTTTGGCTGCAGGAGGAGGGTCCTTCCTTCCGGCCCCTGCGGTCAGCAGAGCATCGGCGGCACTTCGTGGGACTCGTCCCCGTGGGACCTAACGGGCAGGTGTGCGTGGTCCTGACGGACAGCTTGGCCCTGCGCTGATCTGCGTGATGAGCGCGTGGGGTTCGTTACAGGACACCCTTACCTTTTCGTGGGACTGGTATTTTCCATGATTAAAACATTACAAGGGGCTGTTGGGGGACGGAAGAGGCTCCGGCGGGAAGGGGGACACGAGAGGCGGGGACTTGCTGCGGCGGCCGCATCCCCTCGAGGGTCAGGGGACCTGTGTTGGGGAGCCCCAGGGACACACAGGAGCAGGGTTTCTCTAATGACGACTCTGAAGAACCTGGTGCTGCTGACGGGTGAACACTTCAGGTTTGCGTATTCTTCGGGTCTGCCAACTACACACCAAATTTACGTCTCTCAGGCGCCTATGAAAATAACGCTTTACCCAGCTCTCCGTCGGTCTCTCTGAATAAATCTGCCTGTAAAAGCAGTGGGGCAGCACTTCCTCTCAAACGGAACCGTCGGATTCTGGACAATGGACCAGATGGCACTCGGAGTTGCTGCAAAGATTCGCAGCCCCGACTGCGGAGGTGACTCAGGCGCGGATCTGCTCCGATCACCGAGGCCTGTGACAGCCGGAGCTCGGCACCGTGCGGCCGAGGGCGAAGACCCCTCTCCCCCCACAGCCCACAGCCACCGTGGTCGGGCAGGACTGTGAGCGGAACAGAAGTGACCGACGGGAAAGAGCAACACCAGGCTCCGGCCCTGCTGATGGCAGTGTGGGCGGATGGAGGTCCCCACGGAGGCTCCTTGGACCCCCGGCCGACGCCCCCACTCAGGGAGACGGGGTCGGGAGGCAGAGTGAGAAGGAAATCGCGTAAGTGGGGGATTCCCGCGGAATGCTACCTCTCGCCATCCGCCGTCCACACGTTTCGCCCTTGGCGACTTCATCGTCTGCCCCCAGGGGGACAGGAGAATTTTCCAAAACCAACCTGACCGAGCTCCTCACCGAGCTGCATGGGCCCGCGGCCCTGCCGATTGAGGAAACTCGGCTTAAAACACTCTGTGGCCCAGAGGGCCCAAGGGAGGGGCTCACCGCACGCTTACGGGAGGGATCGGGCGCCCCTGCGGCTGGCCCGGGGCGGGCCGGCCGGGCCCGCGACAGCGTGCTGCAGAGACGGCGCCTGGGCGGCGTCCCAGGAGACCCCTTACCTGGAGGTAATGGCAAGGCCTCAAGGACGGCTTGATCTCCGGGGGCACCAGGGGCTTGTCCAAGTTCAGGGAGCTCTTGCGATAAGCCTCCTTGGCCTGGCTCACGGTCAGCGTGGACCAGGAGCTCCGCTTCATGTACTTGGTGTCGGGGGTCATGGCCAGGCCCTCACAGGCCGAGCACTTGACGTCGTTGTTGCTTTTGGAAGTCTTCAGGGAGAGGTCCCCGAAGGGGCCGGGCAGCAGCTCGGGGTAGCAGTGGGACACGTGGTCCACGAGGTGCCTGTTGACCACGCTGGAGGCCCGGTAGGTGCTGTCGCTGTCCAGGTTGTCGTCCGAGCTCCACCAGCCGCTCAGGCCCAGTTTGTGCTTGGCCTCCGGCTTCCGCTCCCGGCTCTTGCTCCGCTTGCTGTGCTTGGGGTGGTGGCCGTGGTGGTCCTCCGCCCGGCCGTCGGCCTTGGTCCCGTTGACGTTGCCCTTGGAGGAGCCCTCGAGAGAGTGGGACTTGGTGAACAGCTTCTGGACGGAGTGCACGAGGTGCCGGATCCGCCCCGGGCTCTCGCCGCGCTGCTCGGCGGCGGACGTCCTCTGGTATTGCAGGGTGTGGAACCCGTCCCTGTGCAGGGGCAGCTGCTTCTCAAACTGGTCCAGGAGGTTGGCGGGGATGCGGTGGACCTTGGTGCTGGCGTGGGACATGGTGCAGTCGTCCCTGGCGTCGCAGTGGGAGCTGTGGTGCATGCGGGGGAAGGTGCTGCTGGACACGTGGTCGCCCAGCCCCACCGGCACCATCACGCACTCGGAGTGCACGGAGCTGCGGGGCGAGCAGCGGTGGTGGTCCATGGCGCAGCTGTCCAGGGGGCTGAGCAGGTAGGGCTGCGGCGTGTCCTGTCCATGGTGGATGTGCTCACAGTCGCCGGGGGGCGCTAGGCCGCAGGTGTGCCCGGAACACAGCTGTGGTGGGTTGCGGCTCCCGGATAACCCTTTCATGTTCCTCGCAGCCGGGGAGAACCTTTCTCCATCGAAGGGCTGGGTGGGTGACCAGGAGTACTGCTGGTCTGCGGAGGAAACACAGACACGCCGGTGAGACTCAGCGGAAACAGACAACAGTCCTCGAGTGTTGGAGAAATGAGCTACTGCACACCCCACACTCGGGCTGTTTCCACGCAGTGACCAGTGTCCCTTCCGTCGGGGCGTCAGCCGCCCCAAAGCACAAGACTCTCAAGAAGGATAAACAGATGTTCCTAAACACCGCTCTGCAGTGACACATGCTTAGCGTCTCCCAGATTCATGGGTCCCTTGAAAGCAAGATTTTATGGTGTTAAAGCCAATAACCCTTCTGAGGGGAATGATGAGCTGCGTTCAGGGAGCTGCGAGCACGAGGTGCACATGCAGCAGGTGATCCAGGCTGTGCAGGTGTCGACCACTCAGCATGTGCCTCAGTCTGTCCACCTGTGCCGACCGGAAAGGAGGTGGACGGAGCCCACCAGGCCGGGTGCCCAGACCTGACCTCCAGCTTGAGCCTGGAGGAGCCCGCGGCCCAGCCCCGCATCCCTCCTAGGACGGCAGCCACATCGTGGCCCCGTGGGGCGTGGAGGCCAGCTGGCCCCTGACCAGGGCCCGTCTCCCCTCCAGGGCCCACACCACCTCCCCCGAGGGCACAGCTGGAGGCCGAGCCCCCGCTCCCGCCCCTCCCCCCGTGTGCCCGGCGACAGGCAGGCTCAGAGGCCGTGGCCATGACTCAGCACAGCCTGTCACGTGGCATCAGAGACGTGGGGTGGCCAGGCACCTCCTCCCTCTGCCTGTCCCCGGAAAGGCCACCAGGAGCCCCGCCTTGTGGGAGAAGGGGCGGGGCCTGCTGGCTCCCCACCTCCCCTCTGGCCGCTGCCGCCCTCCCTGCCCAGCCTGGTTCTCAGCTGCTCCCTGAGCCCCCCCTCACCCCCAGGCCCTGCCCTGGCTGAGACCCTCACCCGCTCAGCAGGGCGCAGCTGCCCCTCTGGGCACTTCCCGCCCTCAGCCACCCTGCAGCTCACCAGGCCCCCCACTCACCGCGCCCCCACTCACCACGCCCCCCGACTCACCACGCCCCCACTCACCACGCCCCCCGACTCACCACGCCCCCACTCACCACGCGCCCCCCACTCACTATGCGCCCCACTCACCACGCCCCCCACTCACCGCGCCCCCCACTCACCACGCGCCCCCCACTCACTATGAGCCCCACTCACCACGCCCCCCACTCACCGCGCCCCCCACTCACCACGCCTGCCCGACCCCCGCATACGCCCAGCCCCCGCCCATCCTGAAGGCCCCTCCAGGAAGGCGGATCCTGGGCCGGGCTGTGTGGGTGAAGACACAGCCCCAGGCACGGGGCAGGCGCCCAGGTGTGCGGTGACCACAGGAGCCCCTCGGAGCCTTCAGCCCAGCCCGCCTCCTGCTCACCGGAGTCACACCCAGGACGCTCTCTCTGACATCACCACAGGTTTTCCCACATCCTGTCCCTGAGGCCGGGTGCTCCCCTGAGTTTCTGCCCCAAGACCCCCCTTCCCGGCTCAGCTCAGCCGCCTCCAGGCGGGGCCCAGACCAGACCTGCAGGGGTGTCTCATCCCCTGGGAGGGAGTAGTCCAGACCCCGCCAGGGCCAACCACGCACCTCAGGCCAGTCACCCGACGCACCCCTGCCCCACCCCCATCAGCACCAGGGGTTCCCCAGTTCACTCTCCACTGAAGCCCCTCAGCCCAGAGACACCACCTGCACCCTGGGGCTGTGAACCCAGAATGGACAGCCACCCACCCTGACCCCACAGTGACCCAGGGGCCCACCGAGGCAGACGCTGAGGAACACGCTGTGTTTGAGGGGCTACAGAGTCAGCAGCTCCCATCAGTCAGCTGGCTTTTTCCGAAGTGGAAAAGTCCATCCTCAGCCGTGCACGACGGGCCCAAGGAACTTGCAAAGGAAGGAAGAGTCGGGGGGCTCCCCTCCTGACCCCAAACCTGACTGTGAACCAGACACCGCGGCCCCTCGCTCCTGCCGAGCGCGGCTGGGACACCGGACGGGAGCAGAGTCCCTGCGCAGGTGGAGCTGAGGCCGGATTCCCACGGGCCGGAGGGTGAAGCTGAGCCCTCCACCCGACACCACACAAACGCGGGTGCAAAATGGGTCAAAGAACCAGCGTGAGGAGTGAGCATAGAACCCCCAGGACACACATGCACGTCTCGGGGCGTTAAAACTGACCAGTGATGGCCACACATCTGTACATGGGCTGAAAACCACTGAGTAGCACAATTTTTTTTTTAATCCTCACCCAGGGGTGTTTTTCCGTTTATCTTCAGATAGAGGGGGAGGGAAGGAGAGACGGAAGGAGAGAGAAACATGGACACGAGAGCCACACCGACACTGCCTCCCGCACGCCCCAGCAGGGCCGGGACTAGCCGTGCCCTTGATGGAATCAAACCCCCAACTCTCATCCACGGCCGACGCTCTACGCGCTTTGCCGAAGCCGCCAGGGCTGGAAGGCGATGTAATGGGCCAGTGGAACAGTTTGCGCATTAGACCCAGGACGCTCTCACGTGTGAACAGCTGCACCCGAGGGAGGAAGACACAGCAGCACGGACCGGACACACGAACGTCACCACCACCGTCCGTGTGCTCCGGCTGTGGGAGGCCTGGGCGGTGCAGGTAGGAACCGGTGTGTCTGCCTCGTCTCCAACACGGGGGGCTGGGCCCCGGCTCTGACGCCCTGAGGCCCGGGCAGACCTGGGCGCAGTGAGGCCCTCAGGCCACAGGGCCCCCGGGCGCCTCTCTCCTGCCCTTCCGCTCCCTCCCAATTCCCGCGTCATCCGTGTCGTCTGTTCCCGCCGGTCAGTCTCGCACTGTGACGCAGCGAGGTGGGGTCTGAGTTGGCGAAGGAATTGACTCTCACCGACCAATCCGATGACGTTGTTCCAGTTCTGCGGGGAGCGGCTGGGAGCGGTGTGACCCCTGTGTGGACGGCGGAGAGCAGACCGTGACGAGGACGGTCCAGGGCGCCCCCCCCCCCGCCTTGTCAGTGCTCCCCGACGCCATCCAGGTCCTGGCCCCTGACGACCCACTGGGATCTGCATTTCCGCGTCGACTCGAGGTTCTGCCTTGGCCTGCCCACGAGCTTACAGGTCTGCAGACCTGAGTTAGACGGTCAGCCGGGCAGCAGGTCCAGGACGGCCGCTGACAGTCCCCCGCCGCAGTGGGCCGGGCCACCCCTTCGTAAACGCCAGTGGCTCCCTCGGGCCACGTCCTGTGCAGCCCCCTGGGTGGCGCGGGTGCCCGACCTGCTCCCTAAGCTGTGCGGGTCGCTTCCGCACCGGCAGCCTCCTGGGCCTGGGTCCTAGTGTCTGGGGCCGAGTGCACACACAGGGCGTGAGGGGGTGGCCGGGGCTCTGCCTGGAGTCCCCACAGGCTGTTGGTGACGTTCATGCCCTCGGCCGTTTGCAGAGCCGGAGCCGCTCAGAGCAGTGAACAGTCAGCACCGTGGAGCGTTCTGAGCCCTGAAGTGTGGCCCCTCCCGCCGCACACGGGGCGCGGAGTCCAGTTCCGCTCACAGGAGCCGGCCGTGTGGTCAGGCACTTCGCTCTGCGTTCTTCTTCAAACACCGTTAAATCCCGTCACAAAGTCACGGCCCCAGACAGGACACCCCCACAGTCCGCATGGTTCCAACCCAGCTTCGCAGACACCGCGCGCTACCCACAGCGGCTCCGACAGACCTGAGACCCACGGGCGACACGGGGACGGCTGTCGTGCGCTGCGGACACCGAGGGTCCACCCCATCGGCCCCTCCTCTCTCCCACGAACTGCTCTTCGCTGTCCAAGCAGGACGCTGAGGCTCCTGGGCAGACGGGGTGCGGGGACGTCACAGACCCTCGGCCACAGCCCCTCCCAGGCGGGCAGGCGGGGGCTGGGGCTTCCCCAGCGGCACAGGCTCCCGGGCAGAGGCCGGCGCAGCAGGTGAGGGCTGTGGGCAGAGCGAGGTCAATGACCCCAGGTCGGGAGCAGACGCTCCTCCGGCCCAGGGAGCTGCCACGGCCAGGGGAGAGGCCAGGGAGACCGTCACGTGCAGCAGCAGGGACTTGGGTCTGATTTCCGAGCAGCCGTGGGGTCACTGCAGCGGGATGGCCGAGGAGACCCCGTCTGAGGGGTGTGGCGTGAGAACAGAGGGGAGCTGGGGAGAAAGGCAGGGGTCAGGGCCGAGCAGGGCTGTGTGCCGGAGTGTCCCCCACTCAGGTCTGAGCCCCATCCCCAGGGTGACTGTCTGCAACAGGGCTCGCGAGCAGGTTGCAGGTTATGGGGTCCTCAGTGTGGGGCCTGAACCCAAGGGTCTGTGTCCCTGCAGGAGAAGGAACCCAGAGCTGTCTCGTGTGTGAGGACCCAGCCGGGAGCGGTCTCGCCAGCCCCAGAGCTGTGAGGAGCCTCGTCCTGGGACCGAGGCCCCCCTGCGGCGTCTGTCCCGGCTCCTGAGACCCGCCGGCGGCATGATGCGCAGTCGTGTGTAGGAAATGCCCCGTCATATGCAAGGTTTGACCCTCAGAGCAACCTACGGGCCAGCTCTCGTGATCAACACTTTCCGAAAGAGGAAAAGGGGGACCTGAGGTCAATGGCATGGCCGAGCTCAAGCAGCCCCTACAACTGGACCCCAGCCTGACCCAGAGGTGGCTCCGTCCTCCGCGGCCCAAGGACAGAGTGCGACCCCTCTCTGCTGGGGGCGCCAGCCCAAGCCCGCCCAGCTGTGGTGTCCACGCCGCTCTCACGTCGCCAGTGGGCCCGGGCACTGGTCCGTGGGGCCAATGTCCACACCCCAACACCCTCTGAATCACGCCTACGTAGCCAGAGGCCCAGGGAGCATCCCTGCTGAACCTCCTTAGGGGTCCCTTTGGGCACAGGCGGTTTGTGGGTAAACAGCAATCGGAGCGTCAGGCCCCATCCTGGGCACTGACCAGGACAGGTGCGTGCGTCTCCGTCCCGGCAGCTGTGCCGGAACCGGGCGTCCGGCTGCTGCCCACTGTGCACAGAGATGTCCACCCCGGTC